CATCCTTACTATACTAGAGAAACACATTAGAAACTGCAGAATCAATAAAGTCAATTAAAGAACATTCTTCATATAAAGCAATGGTTGGAATTGGTGTAGTGTCAAAAATAGAAAATCCTACTTGTTTCACCTAAGACAATCATAGTTATTTTTTATTTTTTACATCAATAAGAGTATTGGTGGTGGCCATGAAGGGCCTACCAAGAAGTATAGTGTGCTCTCTCTCTTATGCATTAACCTCACCCATATCCAAAATCACAAAATCCACAAGAACAATTAATCTTCCAACTTTTACTAAAACATCTTCAATTATTCCTTTAGGGTATCGAATTGACCTATTTGCTAATTGCAAACACATTTTGGTTGGTTGTAATCTTTCTAAGTCTAATTACAAATAAACAGAATAAGACATCAAATTAATATTGACCCCTAAATCTAACATACCTCAAACCTCATTGCCATTACCCATACAAACAGTTAGAATGAAACTACTCGGATCCTTCATTTTTGGTGGTAATTTATGTTGCAAAATTGCAATGGCCACCTCCGAGACAATAACGTTTTCATTAGGTTCAAATTTCCTTTTCTTGGTGCTCGGATCCTTGAGGAACTTGACATATGTAGGTATGTTCTTGATAACATCTAACAAACGTAAGTTAATATTTACTTTAGATAGCATCATATATAAGTCAAAAAGCTGATCATCCTATTTAACGTCTTTGAGCTAGGCTTGGATATGGAATTGGTAGCTTATAAGGGTTTGTTGCTTTATGAAGTCCAAGGATAGAAGCTACCTTTTTCTCTTGGGTGTCTCGGTTAGGGGATAAATTATCTCTAGCATGAGTCGTTGATGAACCATGAGGGCAAGCTATTGGTGGGTCACGCTAGGGAGTAGAGTCCTCTTGGGTGTGATTCGTCGGTGTGTCACGCTAGTGAGTGAAATCCTCACGGGCATGACTTGTTGGTGTGTCACGCTAGTGAGTGAAATCCTCATGAGTTACTTGTCCCGTTACTATTGATTCAATTCCAAAGATGTAGGAAGTGTTACCTTACCCGACGTCACGGAAAAGTTCCCGACCTTTCCTTAGGTCAATCCCTTCTCTTCCTCAAGCGGGGCATTCGGTTCGGTGCTACCCCCTCCGAGAGTTCCATCATTCGAGCATGTTCTATTCCGGAGCTATCACTAGGTGAATTCAACTCTACAACAAGGAAGAAACTCAAATTCCTCTCTTACCTTTCTACTCGAGGCATCAATTCCCTCCTAACGACAAATAAATCCTCCATTGGATCCCTCTATTCGAAGGCGGCCCTTGGGCTGGGTTTTTATTATTCCCATAGCTTGTCGATGAATGGAGCTCCGCTCTTCCCTTATCGCACTTTATATCTCTTTCTCTTATGCCTATCTTCGTGGGTGAGTAAGATGACCCAATCACTTATAACTTCGATCAAAGGAATTGAATGAAAAGAGGGAGGCATGGGGAGTATCGATCCGGCGAAGCATCGGTAGTAGTAGGCATAAAGAGTGAAATCCCGATGTTTGTAAGCGTGATTCGACCTCCGAGTGTATGGTCGCCTCGTAACACCCTTTTCGATTTGAGAACAAATAGCGTTCAAAGGCGGGATTCGAGGTTGATCTTTCCCTCGGTAGCAAACCTAGCTCTTAGGTGTATCTATTGAAGCGGCACAAATAGTTAGAGATGCGGTTCCATTAGTTTCGTAAAGATTGAACTTTCCCCTTGTGCTTGGTTGTTATTGCCTTAGCCTTCGTCTCTTTTTACGACCTAGTTACCTAATAACCAATTCTCCGATCGGATTTTTAGTTAATTTTATTAAATTCATATTATTAATCTCGGGCATTAGTCCTTTATAGTTTATGTGGTTGACAACCCTCACCACTAATAGGAAAGGTCAAAGATCGGGCGGATCGGAATCAATACATCTCGGTGGTTAGAGTAATAAGGAGGCGGTACACTTGATGATAGATTCTAGAGGTGCCTATAAGGAAGTGGAAAACTCGACGGACGCGATCAAGTAAGTTCTCCTTGTGGAAGGAAGAATGGACGGTACTTATAACCAAACCCGTTCGAGTCTAGGCTATGGAGAAAAACTAGTGCTACAAAGGAACGACGGTTAAACTTAGAACTCTCTTCGATGCGAGGCGATAGTCCTACCTTGATGGCTGAACCCGGGTTGTCTTTCTTAACGGATTAAGTGTGTCACCTACTAGCAATGGAATATGCTTCACTTGCTCCCACCTTACTAAGCCACTATCGGTGCGGGATCGAGCCTGGAAGATTCCCGTGTGTGTTAAAATCGCTCGACTCAACAAAGGCGGGAAAGGCGAGAAGAGAGATTTTCTCTAAAAAGTAGGGTTGGTTTTTTGACGGGGAACTTCATGGTCCTGCGTAGTACCCATAGCTTATCCTCTATTTGTGACTTTCGTTGTTGTCATACATCGTGGGTCTACTTGCTCGCCAAAAAAGGCTTTCAATTTTTCTTTTAGACATCAACTTCATTTGCTCTTGCCTTGTTAATGGACGAGGAAGTGATATGACATATAAAGAATAGGAATCGGTTGTTAAGGACCTTCTTGCCCTAAGGTTTATGGAAATTAATGCTTTCAAGTGCTAGGCCAAGCCGAGATAAAATGTCATCTTAGTCGGATCCCACGAGCGAGATGTTCTCGAATAGGCGGTACGTGAGGCAACTATGGAATCCGCCTTCCACGATTTCGATCCCGTTGATGTTTTTCGGCATTAAGAGTCTGCTAATGAAAGGAACTCATGATCTTGGCTTAGATGGTTTTGCTCACGGGAACATCATTTTTTAATAGTAAAGGTACTCGAAGTTTCATGAGCGAGACCATTCTTAACATTCGTCGGAAAGATCCGAATAGAAGGAAAAAGAAAAGTGGGACAAAATTCCTATTATGAATAAATATAAGTAACTAGCCATCCTTCTTTATTAAGTTAACGCCCAAATAAATGCTTGCCATATCGATTTCCAACATTTAAGTATCTAATAGAAATGTACGAGGAGGAATCAAATGCGCTCTTTTGAGATAGCTTTCAATAGAACATAGAGCTCTACCCTTACAGTCTGTCCTAACGAGGAAAGTAACTTTGTACCTTAAGACCTTAAATGGCGAGTTAATCGTAGAGCGGGAAGAATTCTTGCTTTCTTTACGTTCGCTAGTCAAGAATGGAATCGAACACTATGAATATGAATTATTGAATGGGGGAATTTTCTAATAATTATTAGACAAATAGGACACTAGAACACAATTCTTCCTCCTTCCCCTTTGTCAACGGGGAATTCTAATTCGATAGATGATTGAAGGCAATTCATCCCGAAGGAAGATTCCCACGGACTAAAAGCTGTTAGATTCTTTTTCGAAAGAGTCTGTTGTTCTCCTAGTTTCGGTGAAGCCCATTCCAATATGAACACTAGTCAATGAATATTCTTACTACCCGGTGCCCACTACGACCTAAGCTTTAGGGAGACCTAAAGTCATTAGGATTAGAGCCGATTTTGCCAATCACTACTACTCTGCTCTCGAACGCCGAATTGAAAGCCGATGATCCACGACATATGCATCTAATTTTGGTGAAGCTACAAGCCTTTTTATAGATAGGTCGGGCCTCCAACCAAGTCTAAGTGCTCCTATATGTTCCTATTCTCTTTCCACGAGGAGCCTCGAAGTGAGGGTGATGGCTTAGTCCAAATTCAGCGAGTGGTTTTGCTTTGCCAACTTGATTCTATTCCAATCTTGTCCCTTCCTACCTATCTATGGCTATGGTATGGGTCTTCTTTTGCCTCTTCTATTATCTTGGGATGGGAAAAACCCGATTATGGGTAAAAAAGGGTGGGGCGGCAAGACTCGAGGAAACTACAATATACCTCGATTGAAAAACGAAATAGTTCCATGATGGGATAGGTTACATTCGATATTGATTCGGATACGTTCTCTATACTTGTAGGCTGCGAGGCACCGGACGTAGATGCTTAAGGAAGGTGCTCGGGAAAAGGAAAGATCTTGACTTGATTTGTCGATTAGTTACATCGGGTTCTCCTATGCTCCCAATGGGCCCAAAAGGAGACGAGACCAAAAGGCACCATTTGCTTAAGCGAAAGCATCAATCTATTAGTATAACACTTCGATTGAGTGGCGGAAAGAAAAAAGTCTTCTATTCTATATAAAGCGGGCTTTCACGGGAGCTTCTTAAGGCAAGGAAGTAGCTATTAGGACATTTGATTGAATAGTTGACCCAACTCCTTGTTGTTTGAAGAAACCCTCCATGGTATTTTTTCACGAAAAGTAAACATGAGATAACAAATCCGAGTCTTTCACTAAGATTTCGAATAGTCGTCCCGAATTCAAGTTGATTATATTTCGCCCCTTCCTCGTAGAAAGACGATCAAACAATTCCTAATCATGGTCCTTGCGGATCGGATCATCCATATAATATACAAAAAGAAACTCTAGATATTTGACATCTTTCTCTTTGAATGAGATCTCAATTCCAACGACGGTTTCATTAGATATCTTACAACTAGAATCCATGTTTTTTCCGATCCAGTTCCTCCACCATCATGAACCCTAGTTAGATTCGGACATGATACACTTTTTAGTTATTGGGAGAACCCAAGTACTCTCTTTCGAATCCAGGAAATGAATCTCGGAGATCTTTGTACCTTTTTACATGGCGAGGCAGTTTTGTCTAGCAGTCCTTAGGCCAAGAAATGGTAATAGCAAAGGATTCCAGTCTATTCCCCCTTCTATTTGAGTCGGATCCCCCTCACTGAACTAATTCTTGTAGCAAATCCAAAAAATGATGATGTCAGCTTATTCTTACTTTCCCATCCCTTTATCTATTCCTTTGCATTATCCGAGTCTTCTTTCATTCCCACTAGTACCATTGAAGCAGGAGTCTTTTAAGCCGGGATAAAAAAAAGATGAATAGTAATAACTCTAGGAATAAGGTGTTATGTATTCATGATCAAGAGGGAATAGGCTTGAGGGAGATCATGTTGTCCACCTCTTGACCAAATCTGTAAGCTTCATTAGCGGATTCATTTTTTGTGGTTTCCCCGATCAAACTAGAGGTTACCAAAGAACCATGCATAGCACTAAATAGGGAGCCACCGAATACACCAGCTACGCCTAACATGTGAAATGGGTGCATAAGGATGTTGTGCTCAGCCTGGAATACAATCATAAAGTTCAAAGTACCGAGAGATTCATAGAGGCATCCCATCCGAAAAACTTCCTTGATCGATTGGATAGATCAAGAAAACAACGATTGTCATCGCAATAGGAGCCGAATATGCAACATCAATCCAAGGACACATACCTAGACGAAAACTCGGTTCCCACTCATGCCCCATGTAACAAGCTACACCAAATAAGAAGTGTAGAACAATTATCTCACAAGGATCATCGTTGTATAACCATTCATCAACGGATGCCGCTTCCCATATTGGGTAAAAGTGTGATGGAGAGGAAAAAGGAAAAGGGATGAAAGAGAGAGGGGAAGAGGGAGAGAGAAAGAGGATGGGAGAGAGAGAGGGGAAGAGCGAGAGGGATATGGAAATAGAGAGAGAGGGAGAGAGAGAGGGAGAGAAGAAGGGAGGGAGAGTGAGAGAGAAAGTGAGAGATTAGGGGAGGGAGAGAGTCAAAGAGAGGAATTACGGAGGGAAGAGGAGAAAGAGGGGAAGATGGAGAAAGGAATAGTTAGAGAAAGTGTGATGGAGTAAGAGAAGGAGGGGGAGGAGAGAAAGAGAGAGGGAGGGAGAGAGATAAAGAGAGAGAAGGAGGAGAGAGAAAGGGGGATATGGAGAGAATGGGGGAGAAAGAGGGATATTGTGAGGGAGAGATAGTGAGAGGGAGGGAGAGAGGAGGAGATAGAGAGGGAGGGAGGCAAGGAGAGAGGGAAAAGGCGAAGGGAGAGAAAGAAAGAAGAGAGGGAGAGAGGGAGAGAAAAGGGGAGAGAGGGAGAGAAAAGGAGAGAGAGGGAGGAGAGAGGGGGACAGAGAGAGAGGAATAGCTTAATAAAAATTTTAATAGGGAGAAGAGGGAAGGGAAGAGATAAAGAGACGAGAGGGGAAAGAGAGGGAGAGAAAGGGGGAGAAGGAGGGAGAGTGTGAGAGAGAGGGAGATAGAGAGATGAAGGCGAGAGAGATAAAGGGAGGGAGAGGGAGAATGGGGAGGGATAGATAGAGAGAAAGAAGGAGAAAAGAAGAGAGAGGGAGTGAGAGAGAGGAAGGGTAAGAGAGAAAGAGTTGAGAGAGAGAGGGGGAGGGAAGGAGGAAGAAGAAAGAAGAGACTAAGGGAGAATGATAGAGGGAGGAGAGGGATAGAGAGACCGGGGGAGAGAGAGAGAGATGGGGAGAGAGGGAGAGAGGGGATGGGAGGGAGAGGAAGAGAGGAAGGGAGAGACAAGAAGAGAGGGATGGAGAGAGAGTGAGACAAAGAGATAAAATGAAAAGGCTAGGGGGAGGGAGAGATGAGGAGGTAGAGATAGAGAGAGGGAAAGAGAAGGGGAAGAGGAAGAGAGAGGGAGAAAGAGAGGGTGAAGGAGAGGGTGAGGAAAAGGGAGAGAAAGGAGGACAGATAAAGAGAGGGAGATATGGAGGTAGGGAGAGAGAGAAAGGGAGAGAGAAAGGGGGAGAGAGAGGGAGAGTGAGAGAGGAGAGAGAGATAAAGTGTAAGAGAGAGAGGGAGAGTGTGAGATGGAAAGGGAGAAGTAGAGCCTATGGGGGAGAGAGATAAGGATAGGGAGGGAGAAAGGGAGAGGGACGGAGGGGAAGGGGAGAAGGGGAGTAAGGAATAGGGAGAGAGGTCAGGTGAGGAAGAGATAGTGGGAGAAAGGGAGTGAGGGAGAGAATGGGGAGAGAGAGGAAGAAAGATAGAGGGAAGAGGGAGAGAGGAGATAGAGGAATAGGGAGAGAGAGAAGTAGAAGGGGAAAATTAAAAGAGAGGGAGTGAGAGGAAAAGCTGGGAGGAGGGAGAGAGAGGAAGTGGTAGAGAGGGATAAAAGGGTGAGAGGGAGAGATAGAGAAAGAGATATAGATGGGGAGAAAGAAAGAGGGAGAGATAGAGGAAGAGAGAGATGAGGAGAGGGTGAGAGATCGAGAGGGAGAGTGAGACCTAGAGGGAGAAAGAAGGAGAAAAGTGAGAGGGAGAGAGAGAGGGAGGGGGAGGAGAGAGGGAAAAAAGAGAGAGGGAGGGAGGGTAAGGGAGAGAGAGGGAGAGGGAGTGAGAGGGAGCGGGGGAAAAGGGAGAATGAGGGAGATGGAGAGAGGAAGGGAGAGGGAGGGAGAAAAAGAGTGTGAGGGAGAGAGAGGGAGAGTTTAAGAGAGAGAGGAAGGGGAGAGAGGGAGCTAGAAAGGAAGAGATACATAAAAAGGGAGAGAGAGATGGAGACCAAGAGAGAGAGAAATAGAGGGAGAGAGGAAAAGAAAGAAAGGGAGAAAGAGAAAGGTAGAGGTCAAGGGAGATGGAGAGAGAAAGGGAGAGAGGACAAAAGAAGAGAGGGAAAGAGAGAATGGGATGAAGGTAGGGGAATGAGAGTGGGAGAGGGAGAAATAGAGAGGGGGAGAGAGGGGAGAGATAAGGGAGACTAGGAGAGAGAGGTAGAGGGGTAGAATAGGAGAGAGGGAAATAGAGGGGAGAGATAGGGAGAGATGGAGCGAGAGAGAGGAAAAAAGAAGGAGAGAGTGGGAGAGAAAAGGAAATAGGGAGAGCAAGATGGAGGGATAGAGTGATAAAGAGAGAGATGAGAGAGGGAAAAAGGGAGAGAGGGAAGTGATGAGGAGAGAGAGAGAGAGGGAGAGGGGTAGAGAGATAGCGAAGGAGAAAAAAAGAGAGAGTAAGAGAGGGAAAGGGAGGGAGATAAAGTGAGGGAATGGGAGAGATAGAGTGAGAGAGGGAGGGAGAGGGAGAGGGAGAGAGAGGGAGAGGAGTTGGAGGGAGAGAGTGAGGGAGAGGGAAAATAAGGGTATAAGTGGGATAGGGAGAGAGTGATGGAGAGGGAGAAAACGAAAGAGGGAGAGAGTAGGACGAGAGAAGGAGAGAGTGAAAAAGAGAGATAGGAAAGGAGAAAAGGAGAGAAAGCGAAAGCTAGAGGGAGAGGAAGGGGAAGATAGATAGAGATGGATAGAGAAAGAGAGGAAGAGAGGGGAGAGAGAGGGAGAGGGAGAGAGAAGGTAAGAGGTAGAGATAGGGAGAGAGGAAAAGGGAGAGAGAGAAAGTAAAGTAAGAGGGAGAGGGAAGGGGAGAAAGGGAGGGAGAGGGAGGGAAAAAGAGATAGGGAGAAAGGGACTGAGGGACCGAGAGAGATATAAAGAGATAGTAGGAGTCGGAAAAAGAGAGGGAGAGAGGGAGAGATATAAAGAGATAGTAGGAGTCGAAAGAGAGAGGGAGAGAGGGAGAGGGAAAGAGTGGGAGAGATATAAAGAGATAGTAGGAGTCGGAAAGAGAGAGGGAGAGAGGGAGAGGGAAAGAGTGGGAGAGATATAGAGAGGATATGAGAGAGAGAGAGAGGAAGAGAGTTAGATGGTGAAAGAGATGGGCATAGAGAGGGAGGAGATTAGGGTAATAGAGTGAGGGGAAGAAAGAAGGGAAAGAAAGACAGAGGGGGAGAGAGAGGGATAGGGATAGAGAAACGAGATAGAGAGGGAGAAGGATAGATAGAGAGAGTGAGGGAGAGGAAAAAGAGAGAGAGAGGGAGAAGGAGGGAAAGAGAGAGCGAATGGGAGATAAAGTTTGGGAGAAGAGGAGAGAGGGCAAGAGTGAGAGAGAGAGGGAGATAAAGAGCTAGAGGAGAAGGGAGAGAGGGAGAGGGATAGAGCAAGAAATGTAGAGCAAGAAAGGAGAGGGAAAGAGAGGGAGAGGGAGAGAGAGAATGAGGGGAAGAGTAGGGGAGAGAGAGAGAGGGAGAGAAGGAGAGAGGGAGGGATAAGAAAAGGAAAATAGAGAGGGAGAGAGAAGGAAAGAAATAAAGAGAGGGTGAATGAGAGGCAAGGAGAGTGATGGAGAGAGGAAAAGAGATAAAGGGAGTGATAGAGAGAGAGAAAAGGAGGTGAAAGATGGACGAGAAAAAGAGGAGAAAGGGAGAGAAAGAGAGATAGAGGGAGAGGGGAAGAGAGTGGGAGAGGGAGAGAGAGGGAGAGATGGAAAGAGAGTGAAGGAGAGGGAAAAAAGAGAGAGAGAGGGAGAAGGAGAGAAAGATAGAGGGAGAGAGAGAGTGGGGAAGGGAGAGAGGGCAAGAGAGAGTGGGGAAGGGAGAGCGGGGAAAAGGGAAAGGGAAAGGGAAAGAGAGAGAGGGAGAGAGAGCTAGAGGTAGAGGGAGAAGAAGGGAGAGAGGAAGAGAGAGAGGGAGTGAGGGATAGAAAAAGACATAAAGAGGCGAGAGAGAGGGAGAGAGAGGGGGAGAAAGAGGGAACAAAGGAGAGAGGGAGGGAGAGAGAGTGGGAAAGCAAGAGGAGAAAAAAGGAGAGATAAGGAAATAAGGAGTGAGAGAGGGAGAGAAGGAGAGAGATAAAGAGAGGGAGAGTGATGGGAGAGGAAGGGAGGTAGAGAGAGGGAGAGAGGGAGAGAGATGGAGCGTGAGACAAAGAGATAAAAAGAGAGAGTGATAGAGGGAGAGAGAGAAAGAAAGAAGGAGAGGGAGAGAGAGAGAGAGGTAGAGAGGAAGGTAGAGGAAAGAGGGAGAGAGTGATAGAGAGAGGGACAAAAGGAAAGGGAGAGCGAGGGAGGGAAGGAGAAAGAATGAAGGGAAAGGGAGAGAGGGAGGGAGGAAGAAAGATAGAGAAGTAGAGAGGAGGAAAGAGAGGGGGAGAAGGAGGAAGGGAGGTCGAAGGGAGGCCGAAGGGAGGGCATGGGAGAGAGAAAGAGAGAAGGGGAGACATATAGAGAAGGAGAGAAGAATAGAGAGAGGGAGGGACGATAAGGGCATAAGGGAAGACTGTAGCGAGAAAGGGTGAGAGAGGGAGAAAGAGATCTATAGAGGGAGGGAGGGAGATTAGGAAGAGATAGAGAGAGGGAATGAGGTAGAAGCAGAGAGAAAGAGAGATAAAAAAAAGGATGAGGGAGAGAAGGGGGAGAAGGAGAGAGATGGGAGGAGATAGAGGGAGAGAGGGTGAGAGAGAGAGAGAGATAGTGGGAGATGGAGAGAGAGGGATAAAGAACAAGAGTTATCGAAAGAGGGATAGAGGGAGGGAGGGAGATAGAGATAGGGAGGGAGAAAGTGAGATAGAGAGATGGAGGGTGAGAGTGAAGAGTGGGGGAGAGAGTGAGAGAGTGAGAGAGAGAGAGAGAGGGGGGAGAGTGAAGAGGGGGAGAGAGAAAGAGAGGGAAAGATAGAAGGCAAAGGAGAGAGGGAGAT